ATACACAAGATGAGACCTACAAATTATAAGAACATTTTTATAGGTGTTTGCCAAATATGTCACATTTCATAAATATGTCTAGGCATCAAATACATTTTATATTAACTTCTACTTTCCATAGGTTAATACATATTCATACACTAAACTATGAAAATATACCTGCACAAGATTATTCATTATAGCATCATTTGTAATTGCAAAATATTCAAAACCACCTGAGTGTTCAAACATAGCCGAGTCATTGAATAAATCTGGCTATAAAATATAAAAATGATAACATAGAATAAAGTAGATATACTGTGTGATACAGGCAGCTGTAAAGGAATGAAATGGACTGTCATAAATTTGCACACAGGAATTTCCAGGAGATAATGTTAAATGGAAAACAAAAAATTAAAAAAGGATATTTAATATGTTCCATTTTGATTAAAAAAAGAGAAACTTCTATAAATTAAACATTTGTGCACATCAAAAGTCTCACCAAAAGAGTGAAAAGAACCTACAGACTGGGAAAAAAAATTTGACAATGACAAACCAGACGAGGACAAATCTCTAAAATTTATAGAAAACTTCAACTCTTCAACAACAAAAGGACAAACAATCCAATTAAAAAATGGCCATGGGACATGAATAAACACTTCACCAAAGAAGACATTTAGGTGGCTAACAAACACATGAAGAAATGCTCAGGTCATTAGCTATTAGAGAGATGCAAATCAAAACAACAATGAAATATCATCTCACCCCAGCACTAATAAACAAAAAACAAACCAAACACACTGCTGTCAAGTCAGACCCAACAAATAGCACTAATAGCAAAATTTAAAAAAACAAAAACAAACAAACAAAAAAAAAACACTGGTGAGGGTGTGGAGAGGGTAGACCCTCATACGCTGCTGAGGAGACTGTAAAATGGTACAATAGTGTGGAAAACAGTATGGTGAGTCCTTAAAAAGCTGGAAATAGATATATAATATGATCCAATGTTTTGGTTACCTTTAGTGCTTCTCTAACAGAAAATACCAAAAATGGGTGGTTTTAACAAACAGGGGTTTATTTTTTTACAGTTTAGGAGGCTGGAAGTCCAAGTTCAAACTGCCAAGATCCAGGGGCTAGGTAAAAGTCCCTCAACCTTAGGCTTCAGCTCTGCCTTTTGCTCTCAGCCTACTGAAGCTGGAGGCTTTTCTTAACTCAGGCAGCTGCTGGCTGCTGAAGCTGGGAAACCCAAGGTCAACAAGTAAAAAGGCACAGTTCCAAGATTATCAAACAACACATCAGGCCACTAATTCAAGTCCAGAAAAAGTCCCAAGATTGGCAGGGCATGCCAGGCTGCTGAATGAAGACTCAGCTACATGCAGGGTCCAAGCATGCCCCAAAACTGCAGACCTTCCTCAAAGCTGCTGTTTATATATGGGAAGCAGACCACATCCTTAAGGCAGCTTACTCAGTTGCTCCAGTAGATTCCACCATGGAGTTGATTACCAGTCTCCTCATGAGGAATAACTACCTCTTGCTACCCAGCCACTCAAAACCAGGCCTAGCCAAGTTGACACTTAACTACCACACCCAACAATCACTACGAGGCATATATCTTACATAAATAAGAGCCATGACATATACATGCACACCCATATTCATCAAAGCACTATTCACAATAGCAAAAAGGTAGAAACAACGTAAGTCCCTATCAGTAGAGGAATAGATCAACAAACTACGGTTCATACACACAATAGAATACTGTTGTTGTTGTTAGGTGCCATCAACTTGGTTTTGACTTAAAGTGACCCAGTATATAACAGAACAAAACATTGCCAGATCCTACACCATCCTCACAATTGACACAACCACTGTGTCAATCCATCTCATTGAGAGTCTTCCCCATTTTTACTGACCCTCTAGTTTACCTATCATGATATCCTTCTCCAGGAACTGATCCCTTCTGACAATATGACCAAAGTAGGAGAGACTAAGTCTGGCCATTATCACATCTAAGGAGCATTCCAGCTGTTCTTCCTTCAAGACAGATTTGTTCATTCTTCTAGCAGTCCATGGTACATTCAGTATTTTTTGTCAGCACAATTCAAATACATCAGTTCTTTGGTCTTCCTTATACACTGTCCAGCTTTCACATGCTCATGGGGCAACTGAAAAGACAGTGGCTTGAGTGAGATGCACCTTAGTCTTCAAATTGACTTCTTAGCTCTTTAACACTTTTGGAGCAGATTTGCCCAGTATAATATGCCATTTGATTTCTTGACTGCTGCTTCCATAGGTGTTGATTATTGATCCAGTAAAATGAAATCATTGACAACTTCAATCTTTTCTCCATTTATCATGATGCTGCTTATTAGTCTGGTTGTGAGGATTTTTATATTCTTTAAAGGGTATAGTACAGAATGTTAAAGAATAATGATGACTCTGCAAAACATCTCATAACATGAATGAACCTGGAGACCATTATGCTGAATGAAATGAATCAACTACATAATGACTATAAGAATTCATGAAAAAGGTTTAGACACAGAAAGAAACATTCTTTGAAGGTTACCAGGGATGGGAGAGAAAGGGAGAACATCACTAACTAGAGGGTAGACACATATCAACTTGGATGAAGGGAAAGACAATGTACAATAAGGAAGAGGTCAGCACAAAATGATGAAGGCAAAAGAAGACATTGGGAGGAACACAAAAGTTAAAGGCAGCAAAGTAAACATTATTACATACATAATCCTGCAATAACAGTAATAACAATAATCTACAATTGGGTACATAGACACACAAGCCGAACAGGTGTGGGAAGGTGAATGGGACTATATCCATGAGTATATATAGATTTGGCAGACAATATTTCTACATATATATTTACATGTTCTGCAAATACATTCATGGAATATGGTAGAGCATATGGGGTGTGTGTGGGGAGTTATAGAAACTTCTTAGCCATAACCAAACATCTTAAGGCAATGAGTTGTTGGGCCTCAGAACTCTGAACCACAGTGTTAGGGGTTCTCGAGGTAAATTGGTTTATCATAGTCCACAAAGACAATGTTCTACATCCTACTTTGGTGAGTAGTGGCTGGGGTCTTAAAAGCCTGTGAGTGACCATCTAAGATGCAACTATTGGTCTCCCCATCAGGAGAAAGAAAAGTGAAGAAAATCAGAGGCTCATGGAAACAATTAGTCCAAAGAACATTAATGTACCATATGATACTCAGCCTTCACTACCCTGAGATGGCAACTAGATGGTGCCTGGCTACCACTGCCAACCACTCTGAAAGAGATCACAATAGAAGGTCCTGGATAGATTAGAAGAAAAATGTGGAACAAAACTCAAAATCATAAAAAAAAAAAAAAAAAAAAATCAGGCTTAAAAAAAAAGACAGTAGTCCAAAAATCTCATATGTGATGTATAATATATATAATAATGTGATATATAATACAACATGTGCTATATATCCTAAGTCTTCAGCATAGAAAAAAATAAATCTATTGCCAAGATTGCAAAGACTGACTAACCTGGAGGGAAACAAGAAAATGGCACTCTCTCCTTGATGATCTTGGTAAAGGTCTTCTGAAAAAGTCTCTGGATTTGGTTACTCAATAATGATGTCACAGAGTATGAGATCAATGGGCTCCCATCACAAAACTCATGACATTAGGGGCCATGCTTTGAGGAGCTGATAGGTGGCCTCTCTAGGTCCAAATGGTGATAGCCCTTCTGACTAATGTAAATGCTGTTCTTTGCACAGCACAAGGAATCTGGAGATGAGTCAGAGAGCCCTGTTAACTTTTATCAAAAATAAAAGAGACTAGAGGGTACATAGAGGTCTTCCCATCCTCAGTAGAAACCTGAGGTTCTATGACAAGGCCAGAGTTCATAAGGGAGGTAGGGGAGAACTGTACTTCCTAGAGCATTTAGATACCTATGCACATGTCACTGTGATCCCCACCATCCCTAGTATCAGGATCACATTTCAAAAGATAATGCTTTTCTTTGGACTGGAAGCCACCACTAGAATCTTTACAAGGCCAAATTCTAGATGGGTACCTTTAGGTCCCTACAAACTTTCATTTTTATGTGCCCCATTATTCAATGTCTAATTAATATAGATGTATTGTCCATATGGGGAGAACTGGTAGTGCAGTGCTGAAAGCACTCAGCTGCTAACCAAAAGATCAGTGGTTTGAACTCACTAGCAATTCTGAACAAGGAAGCTGTGGCAGTCTGCTTCATTAAAGATTTACAGCTTTGGAAACTCTATGAGGAGTTTTACTCTGTCCTATAAGGTTGTTATGAATTGGAATCATCTTGATGGCAGTGGGTTTGGCTTTGGGTTTTATTGTCCATAGCACCCTAGCTTGCCTTCATCCATAAGCATTGACAGGAATTGCTGCAATTAGGGCTATTTTTGTAGGTTACGTGGAATAGCATGAATTCACTTGACTATTGGACCTAGTTTAATTGCTTCCCAAAAACTATAACAACTTCCTGGAGTAAAAAGGAAATGTTGTTAGGTACCATCAAATAAATTCTGACTCATAGCAACCTATAGGACAAGGTAGAACTGCAACATAGAGTTTCCCTGGCTAATTATGGAAACACACTACCACATCTTTCACCCATAGAATGGCTGGTGAGTTCAAACTGCTGACCTTTTAGTCGACAACTATGCCACCAGTGATCATAGAAATGAGCCATTGAGTTGGATCCAACTCATAGTGATCCCTCCTTGGGTTTCCAAGGCAGTATAACTACAATTGCCCAATCTTTCTTCTGAGGAGTGGCTGGTAGGTTTGAACTACTAGCCTTCTGGTTAGCAGTCAAATACCTCAGGCACTATGCCACCAGAGCTCCCAGAAATGAAATAACTGCCCTTAATTCTGATCTTAAGAAAGCCAAAGATCTCCATGAGATGATATATATTTAATATTTCTGTGTGGTCTGTGTGCAAGGCATCAAGTGCCTTATCATTGATTATAGGCACTCAATGTTATAGTACCACGAATGGCATTGGCAATAACTGATATTGTGACTGCCACAAAGGCTATTTCCCAAGCTGAGGAAACTGAGTATGTAGCATCAATCAACATCAGAAATGCTTTCTCAGCATCTCCTTCTACATGTATGCGACGGATAAGTTTGCCTTTATATAGAATGGGTTTCAATGCTCATTTAATGTCTAACCACAAGTGTACTTAAATTTCCAGACTATCTGGTATCAGTGGGGAAGTTGTGACCTGGAAAAAGTAACACTCCAGAGAGAGCACTAGCCTACTACTAATGGATGACATCCTCTTCCTGGCCCAAGAAAAGCACCACTCAAAAAGGAGTCAATTCCCTGATGATATACATGTGGTAACATAGCTGTGCCATTAATGCTGACTAGTAGAGAATGTAGTACCTGAGTGGATTCCTGAACTCAGGAAGAGTCAAGAAATATTATTCCAGAGAAGATAATTTTTGGCCCCTTTTTCAAAAAAAAAAAAAAAAGGAAAAGAAAAGAAAAGAAGGCCCAGCACTTGGTGGGACTAGTCTTTACTAGTACCTCACATACAGTGTGCTGGGGATTGACAGTATCCATCTACTAGGTTACTAGAAGGGCCACTGTATTTGTGTGGGGCCTCATGTCTCAGCAACATTTCAGTTCATTAATTAGAACCTAAGGCAAAAGGATATCACCACAGATTAGAGGTGGCCAGTGGCCTTTTGACCTATGACTTGTAGATGGACTGAAGTGTACTCATCCTTATAGAGGCAATTATTTCTCTGTTATGAGGCTTTGGTAGATAATGAGTGCATGAGCCATAACCACAAAATAGACTTTCAAGCAGAAATTCTAACCAAAAGGTATCAATATTTTGCTTTTGTTTACTTGTTCCCATGAGGTATGCAAATTTTACATCAAATTGTAAAATTTCTATATATGCTTTAAATATATATTCAAAAACAAAAGCAAACAGATCGGATGAGATAAATTTTAAATTTGAAAAGAATTACAGATAGCTTTATATTTACAGTTAATATACTCACTGTTGAGTTCATCCCCCTCTCTTCCCCGGCCCCCGGTCCATAAAACTGCAAGGATCTATTTTTCGGGGCTCCCTTGGCAGTGCAACGAGCCACCTGGCTAGGTAGCTATATCTGCCTGTTGCCCAGCATTGTTCCACAGGGAATAATGTAACATCAAAAGAGCTGGCACCTTTTGCTGTTTAGCTTCTTGCTTATACTATTACAGTAAATGAATAAAGGCTTAATTGTTGCTTTAAGTTGGGCTTGTCTTATTCACTTTGACACCTGACAGTGCTGACAAACTGGCTCAACAGGTAGTGTGGTAAATTAAACTCAATGCCTTTCAAAAGAAGCAGAAAGCCTGAAGATTCTAGGGAGTACTTTTAGGTGGTGCTAACAGAGTCTCAGGAGCTCTGGTAGCATAGTGCCTAAGGCACTTGACTGCTAACCAGAAGGCTGGCGGTTCAAACCCACCAGCCACTCCTCGGAAGGAAGGTTGGGCAATCCTACTTCTGTAGTGATACTGTCTCGGAAACCCAAGGAGGGGTCGCTATGAGTCGGGGTCGACTCGATGGCAAACAACAACAACAACAACAAAAAATCCAATATCTCGGTAGGGGGCAATAAGAGAAAAGAGGTAGAGTTGGAGAATAATGAAGAAATAATGTGATGAATGCAAAAAGAAAAACAAAGAATGGAGTTAAGCACAAGAAAAAAAAAAAATGGGCACCAGGAACAGGGAAGAGAGAAAAAGCTGAAAATTAGAACCTGGAAAGGGAAGAAAAAAGAATAATAATAATAAGGATTAAAAATAATACAATAATAATAATAGTAATAATTTTAAAACAGACAAAAACAAACTAACTTAAAAAAAAAGGAAAAAAAAATCTGTGCACAGCGAGGCAGAGGCAGAGTACCTAAGATCCATCAGAGCACACAGATTGGGATGGAATTCCTGCCATCCCAGAAGGTGGATTGGAGTGAGGGATGATCACACCTCCATTCACCAAAAGGGTGTGGGATATGAGTAACAAGGGGAATATCATACCTTTCCTTTGTGTCTGGAAGGCCCTTATGGTTGATGGCATGTAGAGCCTATTGTTAGGTCCCTGAAATCTGAGAGAACACTGTTGCTTTAAATATCCAAAATGGTCAAACCGCTTGTAAAAATTCGAAATGGCTGGTCCCTCCAGACAGGCAAAAGCCCATGGCTCAGCCTCTCTCCCTTTTCGCTGCTTCCCCTTTTATTCACCAGCCACTAGTGCAGACCTGCATGCAGTCCCTGGCTAGCATGGGCCAATTTTTATTTTAATTCTTAGGTCTTAACACCACTTGGCAATATCCAAGCTGTCCATGCCATCATGATCATTGAAAGCCCACAGCTCTGAATGTCTGCTTTTTCAATGTTTACATGCAGGTTTCTTCTACTAGTTGAAGTTTAGTCCACTTCTGAATCCTTCCTTTCAAAGCTCAGGGCTCCAGGATTATATTCTGTATCTGTGTTAATTGTTTCCCCTTTTCTTTGTTGAAGAGGGTCTGTGCAGTTTGTCTGCCTATTCCACCATCTTACCGAACCTTCTGTTGCTTTTGTTTTTATTAAGTGTCATCAAGTCAGTTCTGACTCATAAAAACCCTATGTACAATGAAACAAAACACTGCCCAGTCTGCACGAGTCTTACAATCATTGCTATGCTTCAGGTCATTGTTGCAGCCATTATGTCAATCCATCTAGTTGACGATCTTCCTCTTTTTTGCTGACCACTTACTTCACCAAGCATGATATGTTTATTCTGGGACTGGTCCCTCCTTACTTCATGATGAAAGTATGAGAAAAGAAGTCTCACCATCCTGTCTTCTAAGGAGAATTCTGGCTGTTCTGTTTTATATTCTTTGCCAAACCACAATTAAAATGCATCAATTCTTCTTCAATCTTCCTCATTCACTGTCCAGTTTTTGCATGCATATGAGAAGATTAAAAATACCATAGCTTGGGTCAGGTGCACCTGTCTTCAAAGTGATATCTTTGCTCTTTAACAAGTGAAAGAGGTCTTTTGCAGCAGATTTTCCCAATGCCATACACCATTCGATTTCATGACTGCTGTTTTCATAGGTGCTGATTGTGAAATCCAAGTAAAATAAAATCCTTGAGAACTTCAATCTTTTCTCCATTTACATGTTGTTGCTTATTGGTCCAGTTGTGAAGATTTTTGTTTTCTTTATATTGAGGTGTAATCCATAGTGAAGGCTATAATCTTTGATCTTCATAAGAAAGTGTTTCAAGTCATATTCATTTTCAGCAAGCATATCACAGGTTGTTAATGAGTTTTCTGCCAATCCTGATGCTGCATTCTTCTGCATTCAGTCCAGCTTCCCAGATTATATTTATACAGATTAAAGAAGTATGGTGAAAGGCTACAACTCTGAAGTACACATTTCCTGATTTTAAACCATGAAGTATCCCCCTTGCTCTGTATGAACAACTGCCTCTTGGACTATGTAAGAACAATTAAATGTTCTGCAATCCCCATTCTTCACAATGTTATCCATAATTTGTTAGGATCCACACAGTAAAATGCCTTTACATAGTCAATAAAACAGAAAGGTAAACATCTTTCTGGTATTCTCTGCTTTCAGCCAAGATCCATCTGACATCAGCAATGATATTCACCATTCCACATCCTCTTGTGAATCAGGACTGAATTTCTGGCAGTTCCCTGTTGATGCACTGGTGCAACCATTTTTGAATAATTTTCAGCAAAATTTTACTTGCGTGTAATATTAAAGATATTGTTCAATATTTTCCACATTCTGTTGGACCACCTTTCTATGGAATGGGCACAAATATGGATCTCCTTCCATCAGTCAACCAAGTACCTGTCTTCCAATTTTCTTGGCATAAACAAGTGAGTGCTTCCAACATTGCAACCATTTGTAGAAACATCTCAATTGGTCAATTCCTGGAGCCTTGTTTTTCACCAATATTTTCAGTGTAGTTTGGACTTCTTCTTTTAAAACTCTCAGTTCTTGATCATACACTACCTTCTGAAATGGTTGAACATCAATGATTCATTTTAGTAAAGTGATTCTGTGTATTTCTTCCATCTTCTTTTGATGCTTCTTGTGTCATTCGATATTTTGCCTGTAGAATCCTTCAATATTGCAACTCAAGGCTTGAGTTTTTTCTTCAGTTCTTGCAGCTTAAGAAATGCTGCATAGGTTCTTCCCTTTCAGTTTCCTAACTCCAGTTCTTTCTAATTTCATCATAATATTTTACTTTATCTCCTCAACTTGATAAAGAATAGTTACAAAAACCTCACCACTAACATCATACTTAATGATGAGAAACTAGATGCTTCTCTCCTATGATCTGAAACAAGTAAATTATATCCCCTCTCACTACTCCCATTCAATATCATAATGGAAGTTCTAGCTAATGATATAAAACAAGAATAGAAAATAAAAGGTATACAGATAGAGACAGAAAAAATAAATAAATAAAACTATCACTGTTCTTAGATGATACGATTTTCTATGCAGAAAATCTCGAAGAATTGATAGTAAAACTCCTAGAGCTATAAGTAATTACAGCAAGGTGGCAGGACATAAGATTAATTGCAAAAGTTGCTTATTTTCCTATATACCAGCAATGAATTTAAAATAAAAACCACAACATCATTTACATTAGAACAAAAAAATTAAATACCCAGAGATAAATCTAAGAAAAAAATATGTAAGATCTATATGAGTGAAACTACAAAGCCCTGATGAAAGAAATCAAAGTTCTTAGGAAATGGATAGGAACACTTAATATTTTTAAGATGTCAGTTCTTCCCAATTTCATCTAAAGAGTCAATGAAATCCCAAACATTAATCCTAGCAAAGTCTTTTCTGGATATCAATAAACTAATACTAAAGTTTATATGGAAAAATTAAAAGACCAAAAATAGCCAACATAATACTGTAGAACAGAGTTGGGAGACTGACATTATCTGACTTCAAGACTTAATAAAAGCTACAGCAATCAAGGCAATGTGGTATAGTGAAGAAATGGACAAACAGATTATGGCAACAGAATAGACCGGCCAGAAATAGATGCCTAAAAATACAGTCAAATAATCTTTGGCATATTTGTGCCCATTCCAAAGAAAGGTGATCCCACAGAATGTGGAAATTATAGAACAATATCATTAATATCGCACGCAAGTAAGATCTTACTGAAGATAATTCAGAAACGTTTGCAGCAGTATATTCCAGAGGTTCAAGCCGGATTCAGAAGAGGATGTGGAACAAGGGATATCATAGCTGTTGTCAGATGGATCTTGGCTCAACGCAGAGAATACCAGAAAGATGTTTACTTGTGTTTTATTGACTATGCAAAGGCATTTGATTGTGTGGATCATGACAAATTATGGATAACATTGAGAAGGATGGGAATTCCCGAGCACTTGATTGTACTCATGAGGAATCTGTACCTTGACCAGGAGGCTGTCGTTCGAACAGAACAAGGGGACACTACATGGTTTAAAATCAAGAAGGGAGTGTGTCAGGGTTGTATCCTTTCTCCACACTTATTCAATCTATATGCTGAGCAAATAATCTGAGAAGCTGGACTACATGAAGAAAAACGTGGTATCAGGATTGGAGGAAGAATCATTAAGAACCTGAGATATGCAGACGACACAACTTTGCTTGCTGAAAGTGAGGATGACTTAAGGCACCTACTGATGAAGGTTGAAGAATACAGTCTGCAGTATGAATTAAGTCTCAATATAAAGAAAACAAAAATCCTCACAACTGGACCAATGAGCAGCATCACAATAAATGGATAGAAGATTGAGGTTGTCAAGGAATTCACATTGCTTGGTTCTACAATCAATGCCAACGGAAGCAGCAGTCAGGACATTAGACGACATGTAGCATTGGGAAAGTCACTGCGAAGGAACTGTTTCAAGTGCTGAGGAGCAAGGATATCTCCTTGAGGACTAAGGTGCGCCTGACACAAGCCATGATATTTCCAATCACCTCGTATGCATGTGAGAGCTGGACAATGAATAAGGAAGACCGAAGAAGAGTTGATGCTTTTGAGTTGTGGTGCTGGCGAAGAATGCTGAAAGTACCGTGGACTGCTAAAAGAACTAACAGATCTGTCCTGGAGGAAGTGCAGCCAGAATGCTCCTTGGAAGCAAGAATGGCCAGACTTCATCTTACCTATTTTGGTCATGTTGTAAGACGGGACCATTCCCTGGAGAAGGATGTCACTCTTGGTAGGGTGGAGGGTCAGCGAGAGAGGGGTAGGCCTTCAACGAGATGGAATGATACCATGGCTGCCATGATGGGCTCAAGTATAGCAGGGATTGTGGGGCTGGTGCGGGATCGGGCAGTGTTTCGTTCTGCTGTGCATGGGGTCGCTATGAGTTGGAAACGACTCGATGGCACTTAACAACAACAACAACAACAAACTTTGGCAAAGGAGTAAAACACAATTCAATGGAGAAAGGACAGTTTTTTTCAATAAATGGTGATGGAACAACTGGACACCCATATACAAAAAATAAAAATGAATCTAGACACAGAACTTACAACTTTCACAAAAATTAACTCAAAATGCATTATAGGCCTAAATATAAAATGCAAAACTATATAACTTCTAAAAGATAACATAGAAGAAAATCTAGATGTCCTTGAATTTGGTGATGACTTTTATAGATATAATACTAAAAGCACAATCCATAAAAGAAAAAATTGATTAATTGGTCTTCATTAAATTTAAAAACTTCTGCCCTGAGAAAGACAGTTGTTGTTGTTGTTGTTATGTGCTGTCGAGTCGTCCCCGACTCATAGCGAGCCCTCCTTTGGTTTCCAAGGTGTATCTCTACGGAAACAGATTGCCCAATCTTCCTTCCAAGGAGTGGCTGGTGGACAGTTAAAAGAGAATGAAATTATAAGCCACAGACTGGAAGATAACATTTGCAGAACAAATATCTGATAAAGTGCATACAAAGAAGACTTAAAACTCAGTAAAGAAAACAAATAATGCAATCATGAAATGGGCAAAAGATCTGAACAAAAAACTCACCAAAGAAGATATACCAGTGGCAAATAAGCATGAAAAAATGTTCAACATGATATGCCATTAAACCAAAAACCAAACCCACTGAGATTGTCTATTCAAACTCATCATGACTCTGTAGGATAGAGTAGAACTGCCCTCTAGGATTTCCAAGGCTGGGCCATGGGAGGACAATAGATGGCCTCAGTAGGGTCCACATGATGATAGCACTATGACTAATACAAATTGTATTCCCATGTACCTACCACTGAATCTGGAGATGGATCATAGAGCCCCACCAACTTTTATCCAGACCACTTGGATTTCACAAATATATAACAGTAGGGGTTAGGGTGACCAAGATAGAGTGACCTTATACTAATATCAGAGTTCATGGGACATAGGGAAGAGTTGCACTTCTTGGGTCTTTTGGAGACTGTGTCCAGATGACTATGAATCCCACATTCCTAGCACCAGGATGACATGGAAACACATAAAGCTCTCTGCTTTGAGGTTGGAAGCCACCACTACCAAAGCCAAATAATGGTGAGTCTCTTCAGGCTCAAACAAACCTCCACTATTAAGGCTTCTACTATTGTGTGGAGGATTAGTATAGATGAATTGTCCATCTCCATCTTAGCTCACTTTTGTCCCCAGCCCTTATGAGAATAGTTGCAAGAAAGGTCATTGTGTAAGGCATATATATATAACTGTGTATCTACTCTACGAATCAGTGTTTTATAAAATTAATATCCTCTACCTTGGGTAAAAATGAAGTAAACCTCCTCATTGTTTATATTAAGGAAGCCAACATTCTCTATGAAACTGGTTCTCATTCAATAGCCCTGTCTGACATGTACAAAAGGCATTGGATGCCTGGAGATTCACCACTGATTATAAGCACTCAATGCTGAGGTGTCACTATTTCCCATGAGAGTACGGGACACTGTGACATTGTCACATAGTCCATTGTCCAAGCTGAGGGAACTTGGTATGCAGCAATCAACATCACAATTTTTTATTGAACATCTCTATCCACTGAGATGCTCAAGGTAAGTTAGCCTTTATGTTGAACAAGGTATACTGCAATATACTTTGAAGGTTCTTACATAAGAGTATATAATTTCCCCAAATTTCTGTGACCTAGAAATAATCTCACTTCTAGAAGGAGCACTAGCCTTCCAATATATGCCTGACAATCTCAAGTAGGGCCCAAAAATGGGCACCATCCAGAAAGAAGTCTATACCCTGAAGACCCACATATAGTAACATAGTGAGGCCACTAATACAGACAAGGTACAATTAAATAAACAAGGTCACAAATGGATTCTTGATGGAAATCTGGGAAGATACATATCTCAATCCAGAGGAAATGATTACTGAGCTTTTAGCCCTTTCTGCTCAACAATTATAAAAGAGGCCCATTGATTGGTGGAATTATTTGCTACTGGCACTCTCACATATCCCATGTTAGGATCCTGATGGTAACCATCTATTGGGTTAC